CGCCAAGAATAATTTTCTTAATTTCCCTCATAATATATATTATATATACATATATATACGCTTCAAGTTCCTCTGAAGCGAGGCTAATATTTCAACGTTTTAAGTACTTTTTCGTATACAGTGTCTCGTCGCGTAATCAATTTCTTTCCTTCTACCGAGTCCAAGCCAAGAAAGTCAAGCGTGGATTCACTTTACAAGCGGTAGTCTCAAGTGAGTTAGAAGCGCACTTCCTACATTTACTTTGACTTATGAATTTTTCCCAGTGGACGCGTATACTTTATTTTCTAATGAAAAAGTATTAATTCACTTTGTCCTATAGAAGAAATAAAACCGTCGCTGATAAATTAACAAGTATTTTGTTTTTCATTTTTTAATTTACTGAATTTACTAAAACCAAATCGTTTTATTTATTGAATTTAGCTAAATTATTGTCTGATCCAATACGGATATTTCTACTTAATTTTTTCAAATCTTTCAATTCTATCTGACCTAACACAAATTTTTCTACTTACATTTCTTTTTTTTTTTTTTATAAAAAGAAATTATATTCAATCAAAAATATCTATTTGAAATTTAATTCTAATTTGTCAATTTTGATTATGGAGAATCAGATAATTGACTAAAATAGTTCCTTTACTATAATTATTGTATTGTTAATTTGACGAATTATCATAAATAAATTGAATAATTCAAATACAAATGATCTCTAAGAGAGACATGATTGACGATGTACTTTACGTGATTGACAAAAGAGAAAGAGAGTAGGGGAAGAGAAGCAAACAGAACGATAATTACTCGTCGTCTGCGAAAATTATCTACCCTCTGCGTGACTAATTACTTGTGCCCGCTCTCTAGAGTTTTCCTTGGTCTACAAACAACCGCTTGACTGCTTTTATAAATTTTCCGTCTTTATCACTTTTTATTGTCAAATTTTTTTTTCTACCCCTTTTATTTTCCAGTTCCTAAAAAAAGTACAGATAATTAATATAATAACTTTTTTTTTTATTAAAAAATAATTAAGAATTTCAAAATTGTGAAAATAAATCTATTACTACTATTACTATTATATACTACTACTATAATAATAATAATAATAATAATAATAATAATAATAATAATAATATAATAATATATAATAATAATATATTATATTCGAGTGAAAATTCCACAAGACAAAATTTTCAGATCATCAAGGACTAAAATGTTCAATTTCTCATCGGTGAGCATTCTAGTAGCACAATCTATTCATGTTTATGGAAGTTGGTCCATTTACTAGAATCACTGAGTGGTTTCATGCCAATCGTATTCACAGTTCTCAGAATTACATCTCGATGAAGCCGAATTGAACTCCTCGAAAGTACATCTTTCTACTGTATCGTATATATATATATATATAATACATATAGTGAATAACTAGCACTGGCATTAATTAAACTTATGTAATTAGTATATTATTTCTCCACGGAATTCACGAATATATAATTGTCACATTTTCCCGGGATTTTATGGTTCATATTAAATATTAGTAATTTCCATATAGAAATTACAATGCTTCCTCATGTAGAAAAAATTAATAATAAATAAATTAGAAAAATATTTACTAAAATTAGAAATTTAATTAATAATTTAAAAGTAAAAATTAATAATAATTAATAAAACGATTAGGTCCAAAAAAAAAGTGTAAGTAGAATAAATTCGGTTTGGTCAGACATAGTGTAAAAATTAACCTTTAGTCCACCGGCGTTTAGCAAAAAAGCCTAAATTTAGGCTTTCCGGTAGTCTACAAGTTAAAAGAAGAAAATAAAAATTTTCAATTTTTTTTTTTGTAATTATTTATTTAATAATAAACGGGTGAATTTGAAAAAAATCTCGTTCAAAAGAAAATGTGAGTAGAATAGTTTTGGGTTTGGTCAGACATAATGTAAGAATTAAAAGGAGAAAATAAAACTTTTTAATATTTTTATTTATTTATTATTAAACAGGTCAAATTGAATTTGAATGACAAAAAAAAATTGTCCATTAAAAATGTAAGTAGAGTATTTTGTGATTAGTCAGACGTACTATATAAAAATTAAAAGCATAAAATAAAACTGAAATATATTTTATTTTTGAATGACAAGAACAAAATTTCACCTTTGTAAAAATATATTGCTTTTTTTTAAGAGTCAATTTCCATTTTAGATTGAATAATTTAAAAACACTTAACGGGTTCTTGCATCTAAGATAGGATATGAGATTGTATATATGTATATTCTCCGCTGTTCTGAGAGCTGGAAATCGATTCTCTGCGATCAAGTGGTTTGGTCCTACTCTCAAGCACATTATAAACCAGACCTAGCCATCGCTAAAGTCAATGAGGCACTTGCTAAATGGTGGAAGGACCCTGTCACATATACATTGTCTCATTAGCAAAGTTTAAACCCACCCCCCGAATATTTATCAATGATACACATTTTACAAATTTTCACAAAAATAGTAAAAAAATTTACAAAAATATACAAATATTTTATATTTTATTTTTATTAAAATTACAATTGTTATTAAAAATTTGAATGAAAAAATTATTTTTTTTTAAAAATATTTCAATAAAAAAGGAGTAGTGATTTAATTTTTTTATTTCTATAATTTTGAAAGGAAACAGAAATGAGGTTTGTGAAGTTTTCTGCATTTGTGTGTGTGTGACAGTAACTGTATTCGTTGACTATTTCATTAAAACTATCGCCTAGTCTTAAATGTAACATTGCAAACATTGTGCTTGATTCATCGTTGTTGTAACGGGGTCGAAAAGTGTATTTAGAATTCAACTATACAAGAGAGAAGGAGAGAGACAGAGAAGGAGTATTATTATTATTATTATTATTGTTTCTCTCAAAACTTACCGCAAGTTAGGACCGTGCTTTTCAAATTTACACACAATATATATATATAGTTGAAGTGAAACATTACAAAAGGATTTTTGACAAGTTTTCAACCACAAAATGTGAAAATCTTTGCATAAGGAACTTCATTATACACAAAACACTATTGTTGCACTTTACCTCTCTCGTGAAATTTCATTTTCAGTCATTGTATATATATATATATATATATTGTTTAAAATCGTTTATAAATTTCCATTGGATGAATAGATAAAAGTCTGTTTTTTTATATGCTAAAATAATTATTTTTGTTTTCTATTTTATTTATTTATTTATTTTTTTTTTTTTCTCGCTGTACATATAGAATGAATGGAGATTAAATTTGTTTTTTAAATTCTATATTTTAGGTAAAACTTATTGACATTGGATAAATATATATAAACTTTATTTGACAAAAAAAAAAAAATTTTTTTTTGCTCGATTTTGTGTTGGCGGTCAAAATAAATTCGGAAAATTGCTATCGGGAATTATATGGATGCATGAGTGTGAGTATTTATTTGCCGTGACAATCACATCAAATATCGACTTTCACAAGTACTGGGCTCATATGTAAATGTACCTCCAATTCCCCGAAGATTAGTATTTGCACTGCTTCTTCTGCAAAACAAGTATCGATACTCGACCGGTTTGACATTTATATTATATATACATATATATATATATATATATATATTACGTTAACATTCAATATTAATTTCAACTAGTTCTTCAATATACCTATAATTAATGGAAAAACAAAAAAAATTGAAATAATAATAACGAGGGTTAAATAATTCAAAATGTACTAAATATACTTTAATATTTTATTGTTTACACGATACTTGAGATAATTCACAATAATAATAAAAATAATAAAATAATTATAATAATAATAATAATAATAAAAATTTGAGTAATAAAATTTTTATTAATAATAAATAATAATAATAATAAATAATAAAAAATAATAATAAATAAAAAAAAATAATATTATAATAAATATATTATTATTATTATTATTATTATTATTATTATTATTATATTATTATAATAATAATTGAAATGTAATTGAAAACTAAAAGATTAAGCAGATGCAATGATATATTTAGAGATGTTTAAAAAGGAGAAAAAAAAATAATAAAAGTGAGAATAAAAGAGAGAGAAAGCAATGGAATTGGAAGGGATTGGTTTGCTTCAGGGTACAGAGTAGAAACGTTGATTCTGCGGAAGACGATTTATGGATACCAGAGGGGTGGTGGGACGTTGTTGGCGCCATATAACCATCATTCATTTTGTCAATAGCGATCACCTCCACAATGGATTTCGTTGTAGGTAGGTATCAAAAGTGAACAGCTTTATTCTTTCAGCAAGCGTGGCGTGAATTCAAATATAGTCCAACCATCATTTCTGTCGTGTACCCGATTATTATTATTATTATTATTTTTCAAAATACTTTCCAACTATTTTTTTTCCATCAAAAACGTATGTTTTAAAATCACTAATATAAATTCTATTTAAAAAATATTTTTATTTTCAAATAATAATTTTACCTTTTTTTTTCTCTGTAAAATTTATATAATCAATGTAAATAATTGATGTATAAATATCAATATGAAAAATTGTAATTTTTTTCTTTTACAGCTCGTGCGCATCCATTTTTTTTATTACTTTGATATAAAATCATGATATATACTAGTGGTGTCGACTTAAACTTGGAAAACTTGTATAACCGATGTATAGTTGAAAAATTTTTATCGAAAGTAAAATATCGATAAAAGAATTTTACATAAATTAGAAACGTTCAAGTTAGAAGCTTTATGTAAGCTGGTTTGGAAGCTTAAACTTCTTTTTGATAAAGTTGATAAGTAAAGAACTTTGCTTTGAATGAATTTTTAAAAAAAAGATTTTGTTAATTGATTTCCACGCATGAAATAAAGAGTAATTAAGCTCTTTCAATAAAAATATGTGATAAAATTTTTTTTACAAATTTTTTTTTTTTTAAAGAACTTATATTACTATAAAATAATTTTTAGAAAATAATATTTAAACAGTTGTTTAAAAAAAAAATTATATACATATATATATAGAAAAAAATTATATGAATAATAGAAAAATTTTTTTATTCAAAAAGTAAAAAAAAACAAGACTGAATATTATAAAAAATAATTAATTAATTTAATTTATTTAATAAAATATTTAATTATTCTCCATTGTAGATATTATCCAATCAACAAATTTCCAAACATGAGTGCTTACATCCGGATATCCTAAGGCACATGGATATGCAAGTGAAGCGATTCCAATTTGAAAATTAGCAAGAACAATTGGACTACCAGAATCACCCTGCATAGAAAATAATTATAAAATATTATTAATATATTTTTAATTCATTTTTTTTTCTAAAATAACAAAAAACTTACATGGCACAATCCTTGTCCTTTTTTTGTAAAAGTGCAAATTTGTGTATCTATTATAGAAGGAAATGTAATTTCAGATAAAAGTTTTACGCAATCTTCATGATCATAAATTTCACTTTCTAAATATTGCAATTTTTTTGGTCGTTCACCACCCTAAAAAAAATGGATAATTATTCGAAATTTCGCACTTTTAATAATAATTAATTTAAATAAATACATACTGCTTGTAATCGTCCCCAGCCAGAAGCAATAACAGGTATACTTTCATAATTCAAATCAAATGGAGGTAATTTAATTGGTTGTACATTGTTGGAAAATTTTATTGTTTCCTTAATTTTGATTAAGGCTATATCATTGTGATATTGACCATTTTTATTATATTTAGGATGTACAATAATATTACTGATTTTATGTTTTACAGTAGTATTTGTTTCTTGATTAGAAAGATCAGTAGCTCCAACAACAACATTGATACTTTCACTAAAAAAAATTAATTAAATAATTAAAAAATATTAATTCTTTTCCATTTTTTAAAAATAGAAAACATAAATTTCTTAAATACCTTAATATGCAGTGAGCTGCTGTTAAAATCCACTTTTCATTTAGAATGGAACCTCCACAATAATGAAAGTTACCAAAACTTTGTAGGGACACTTGATAAGGAAATTGTCCTTTTTTTGCGGTAAGCCCACCGACGATACGACCACTTAATTTTGATTCATCAAAATGAAGCAATGGATTTGCTATATTGAAAAGAGTTCGTAATTTTTGTAGTTAGAAAAAAAAATTCAATTAAAAAATACAAAAATAGACAAAACAAAATTTTTATATTTTTCTAAATATCAATTATGGAAATTTTAATATTTTTTCTTTATAAATATAATACTCACCAAATGCTAATCCAAAAAGAGCAAGAAACAAAAGGAACGATAATTTTGACATGTTGAAGAATTAATATATAAAGTAGAAAAATTCATTTACTTTATTATATACTAAAAAAAAATTTGAAATCTTATCAAAAGTGGAAATGACATTTGATAAATTCATATTATCTAAATTCTAGTTTATCTGCTATCGAAAAATTAATCGCACTATGATTGAAATTAAACATCAATATAATATTTTTCTTTAATTCTTTAATTTTTTATTTACCATATCATATAATAATTAATATATAAAATATTTCGATAAAAGAATTATTCATATGGGTGTCGATTATGTATTTTAACTTGACTTTGACGTTAAAATCAAATTCATTTTAACGTCAATGTCAAAAATTCAACAAATTCATTGTTTAATTTACCTAATTTACCTTTGACGTTAAATTAAAATTTAATTTTTGATTTCAATTTGACGTCACATTCAAATTTGACTTTGACGTCAAAGTCAAATTTCATAATCGACACACAAGGAAATCATTGTGTAAATATTTTTATTAGAGTGATTTGATATTTTGATAAGTATTTTACAGATGAATTATTTGATTGATTGTTCGATTTGAAGGTCGATTAGATTTTTTCTAATCTTTTTTTTAGTTATTGAAATTATTTTAATTATTATTTTATCAACAATATTTAGTAAAAAATGTTTTTTTTAAGTTATATATGGCAAAAAATGAGAAAAAAAACGATAAACGATAGTTTTTAACTTTAAAATCCTAAATCAGTGACAAAACTTTCAAGATTTGTAAGTCACTGAAAGATTTTTCGAGATATATACATATATATATATAAAGGATTTAGGAAAGTAGACATTGAGCAATAGTTTGCCATTTCCTGGCATTCGAAGTGTAGAAATTGGTTAGTTGTGCTGACGCAATCGAAAAAGTAAAACAATATATTAGAATCAAACATGCCAAAAACTTTGAATATGCAATCATCCGAATCGAATGTCCTCCTCTCGCCCACTTTGAATTACATACTGTGCTCCCATTTAGATACTCTCCAGTATATATATATACTTATATTCTATATATGGGCGTACTCACTTGGTCCCGTACATCTTCGAGTACTTCACAATTTCCTGTCATCGTCGTTGAAAAAAAACCCCAAAAAATAAGAAGAGAAAGAATAAAAAAAAAAAAAAAAATTCCGACTTATTGAAAAGACACGCAAGAAGTGAACATCGAAACCGGAATCACGCCAATGAATGAAGTGAGGAAAACATATATTGCTTTCAAAATCTATAAAATTCTTTTTCATAAAAATTTTCATATTTTCATTAAAAAAAAGAAAGAAACACACACACGGTAAAATAAAATAAGAATTAGCTTTGTTCAGAAATCGTGAATTTTTCATGAGAAAAAGATTTTTATGCTTTTAAAGTCCCTGAAATAAAAAAAACTACTAGAAACTTTGTTCTGGTATTATTTTTATTATTTATTTTTTACCATATACTGATACCAGTAGTGAACTCCAATTTCACCGCCCGACACAATTTTTGACCCACAAAAAAATTTAACATTTTCGGAAACTAGGACCCAAAAAAAATACCCGTATCTGGCCGTTTTGCTAGATCAAGTCGTTTGTGATTTTTAAGGGTGAAAACAACCCCTAAATGAAAAGTGACAAGATATCTTTTAAAAATTATTAATATTTTATAAAACTTGGTATCTGGGGGTTTTCGGGGTCACTGATTATTAATCTGATATCAGATTTTCAAAATGGCGGATCCAATATGGCGATCAAATTTTTAAAAAGTTATTAATTTTTTATTTTATATCCGCCATTTTGAATTTTGACAATTTAACATCAGATTCGTCATCAGCGACCCAAAAAACCCCCTAGATACCAAGATTTAAAAAAAATTTAATAACCCCAGGTGAAAAAATTAACGTTACTAACGTTACTAATGTTACTAACGTTAGTACCTATAAAAAAATTAAGAGTTTCTAAAACATATTTTCACAGAAACTTTGCCACTACTTTCCCATTACCACTTTCACTTCCACTTAAACTTTTTATAATTTTCATTCCCATTTCTACTTCTACTTTTTCTAATTCTCATTCGCACTTCCATTCTCACTTCTACTCTTTCTAATTCTCATTCCTACTTCACTTCCACTTTTTCTAATTCTCCTTCCCACTTTCACTTCCACTTCCACTTGTTCCAATTTTCATTCCCATTTCATCTTCCACTTTTTTATTTTCATTACAACTTTTTTATATTTTCACTCCCATTTCCATTCCTATTTTTTAAATTTCCATTACCACTTTCACTTTTTCTAATTTCCATCCATTGTAATTAAAAAAAGTGTAAATGGTTGTGTAAATGGAAACTAGAAAGAGTTTTAGTCGAAATGGCAACAGCTAATGAAAATTAGAAGTGGAAAAAATGGGAGTAGAAGTGGGAATGAAAATTAGAAAAAGGGAAGTAGGAATAAAAATTAGAAAAAGTGGAAGTGGAAGTGGTAATGAAAATAAAAAAGTGAAAATGGGAATGAAAATTAGAAAAAGTGAAAGTGGAAATGAGGATTAGAAAGAGAGGAAGTGGGAATGGAAGTGCGAATGAGAATTAGAAAAAGTGGAAGTGGAAGTGGTAATGTAAATAAAAAAGTGGAAGTGAAAACGGGCATGAAAATTATAAAAAGTGGAAGTGAAAATGGGAATGAGAATTAGAAAAAGTGAAAGTGGAAACGGTAATGAAAATAAAAAAGTGGAAGTGATAATAGGAATGAAAATTATAAAAAGTGCGGGTTTAAATACTTCCTGGTGGTCGATTTTCGACAAGTTTCTGCAAAAATACAATTTAGAAACACTTTCTTAATTTTTTTTATAGTTACTAACGTTAGTAACATTAGTAACGTTAGTAATATTAGTAACGTTAGTAATGTTAATTTTTCTACCTGGGACTTTTTAAAATTTTGACCGCCATATTGAATCCGCCATTTTGAATTTTGAAAATATGACATCAGATTAATAATCAGCGACCTCGAAAACCCCCAGATAATAAGTTTTCTAAAATATTAATAATTTTTAAAAGATATCTTGTCACTTTTTATTTAGGGGCTGTTTTCACCCCTAAAAACCACAAATGACTTAGATCTACCAAAACGGTCAGACACGGGTATTTTTTTTTGGGTCCTAGTTTCCAAAAAATGTTGGATTCTTTTGTGGGTCAAAAAAAAAAGTTGAATTTTGTCGGACGGTGAGGTAGAGTTTATTAATTCTAGAAACAGTATTTATTATCAATTTTTATATTTTGTGGATAATTTTTTTTTTTTAATAAATGTTTATGACTGCTTTAATGTATGAAGAAGAGAACGGTATATAGATGCACTACAAATGTGAAATAAGCCTTCTATCAGTTTAGTAGCAAGTACAACAATATCAAAGTTAGTACAAGCACAATGTCAGGATTATGCTGGAAGCCTGGAAGTCAGAATAAACTTTACCGAGGGAGAGAGAGAGAACAAGCAGAGTACAGAATCTGATACTCACGATCGTCTTGTTCACTGTCACAAGGGAAACTGCCGTTGCAAATTTGCCAACCTTAGCCGTGTGTATACCACTCGATTTAACGATTCCGATACTTAACCAAGCTTGGTTAATTCAATGAAAGTAAATTCCTTTGGCTGTAAATGTTGACAATAAACTTTTGTTGTAATAATCAATTTTGAAAAAGGAAAATATTTTTCAACTCTTTTCAATAAAAAAAATTAAATTTCTTTTTCTATTCCTAATTTTAGTGAAATTAAAATTTTATTTAATTTTAAAAGTATTTTACTAATTTTAAAGAGTTTTACGACTTTTTTTTTTTTAAGGTAAAAAAGTTTTATTTTCGAAGCTAATAAAAATTGTCAGATTTTCCAACAAGAAAAAAAAAGAGAGACCTCGTAGAGTGTTCGTATTATCTTATTTAGAGGGCAAATGGGTCATTTCGAACGATTACGGATTAGAGGATGTGGGGACGACGTGTGAGACGTGAATCAGTCCTTAAGGGTCCAGACCCTGGAGGATTAAGCATCAGATAGATCGTTTGGTAAACTTTCAGAGTCGACCCGAGGTAGATTTTGTGGCTAAATCCTGTATACAACATGTGACCAACATTTGCATAATGTTTTTACATTCGCATCATATATATATATGTACGAAAAACCATTATATTTTATACCACATTATAATAGTTAACAGAAAATTTTTTTTCTAAGTTATTTAACAATTTTTTTTTTCAATACAAAAAATATTATAAAAATATAATAAATGTGATATAAAAATTTATTTCTTCTTCTAGAATAAATAATAGTATTATTGTGTTAATATAAAAACAATAATTAATGCAATGATAAAATTTGTCTAATGAATAAAAGATTATTATAATTATGATATACTAATAATTATGTTAGTTGTACTTTTATACACAAATGCCAGGAAAGTTATTTAAGCATTATTTCCATTGCAATTAATATTTCCAGGATGATGATTTTCGTTTGCAAATTCAACCAAATACATATATATCATTTAACTAAAGAATAACTGGTTTAATATGTGAAGTAACAATTACACTTGTTAGCTCTAAGTGAATTTTGAAAGCAGTAAATTTTCAATCTCAAGTTATATTTGACGCTGTGGAAAGTTAGAAACAATGTAGAATTTTGAATTCAAAATATGTTTTTGTCAAAATATTAAATTAAATTCATTTTATTGAAAAATATTATTTTTAAATATTATTGAAAGTATTTAAATATTATTAAAAATATTTTTAAAAAAATACACACATTTTTGTTTTATAATTATATGACGTTGAAATTTTTTTAAAGTATAATTTTTACACGTAATATACTTACAAAGAGTGTTAGAATTTAATGGCTGAATGATAATTTATAATATGCATGGTTTGTCGAAGTGAAAAATATGTAACAATCAGTATCGGAACAAAAAAGATTATAAAAAGATAATAATAAAAAAATAATATATGTAAAAAAATAGAAATAATTTTTTTAGTGATCAAATTAAGAATAAAAAAATAAAGTAGGAAATTATACAAAAATATTGCAATATCTTGGTGAAAATAAT